TATAGGACCAGAGAGAACATTAAGATTATTTATGATCTACTTTTATTTATATTGATAATTATATGGTATAATCTTGTTTTTTATGTAAATCTAATATTCTACAACTGATATATTTGTATTCTTCTTATTTTTTATTCCTTTTTGTCCTCAAACTTGCAACTACAACATAATTGATACTGAGCCACGGAAGTAAGTTCTGAGATAAACAAAGCTATGCGTAAGTTCATCAATTTAGAAATTGTATTTAAAAATTAATTTTTCCTTACACACACATTAATCACACAATATTATTTATATATCGAGCACAGCAGGAAAATGAGTAGTAATGCCATCATTACCATTAGCAGGAGTCTTCTTCTAATGTAATACATCCTAATTATACCAAATGACTCTTTAAAAAAATCGTGTTTCCATGTGGAAGATAGAGATAGTTCGCCGTGTAATGTAGTCAGCCAGCTTGGCAACTGGGATTTAATTCAAGATCAAGGCCACTATCCGTCAGATCAGCACAACGTGGCCTTCACTGCCTTGCATCCTATTCTCTCTAACTGGCATGGCATAGTTGCATCGTGAATTTTAAATACTGTTCATGAGCGCCGATATGGGATTTTCGATAAGAATTACCTGTTGAAGCGTCGACGTGAGAGTATTTTTGTTGTATTTTCTGATAGTTCTGATGTTTTTATATACCTACCCGGAACATCAATTATTGTGGACGAATGATGGCTTATTTATTTCTTCATTCTTCTAAAAAAAGAGTTCTTGTTTCGGTTTTGGAAATTTCCTTTTCAGTTTATTTTTGACACCAAAATTTCATACCTTTTGTTTGTTTATATCACTAAACAATCTTTAATATTGATTCTGCTATTTTCGAGCTGTTGTTATTATTATTTAATCAACGGACTTCTATCATTTTATTAGGTTTTTTATAGGTTAGTAATCAAATCATCATTTTATATTTACTTTAGCATTAATCTCAATAAGACTTTTTGTTAGTGTTTTGTTATTCTTCGTCTTCTTTTTGGAAATATATTTGACTCTTCAGGGGTGTTACTGTTTCCGCTGACGGCTGAAATAGAGAATTTGTGTTTTGTTATTCGATATATTTATTTACTTATTTACGGGATGTTATCATTATAAAATAGAAGTAATTATAAAATAGTATATTAAAGTATAGGTGGATATTGAGGACTTTAAAACACGCGCGATTTTTCGAGCACGACGGCGCAGCCAGAGTACAACCACGTACATAGATTTTTCAGTCAGGAAATCCTTCGCCTTCCTGGTTCACGTTTTCCTTCGACTTTTCCTTGTAGAAATCTACAATCTCAGTGAACAAAATCAATGATTGGACGAAAATATGATGGTCAAAATTGAATGAGATCAAAACAGTCCATGTGAATTTCCCTAATAATAGAAAGTCATATGTGCCAATGACCTTTGTGTACCTTTGTAGCAATGCCCAAAAAGCCAAGTGCAACAACTTGCTCAGATCACAGAACAATAGCTTTAATGAGTTACACACTTAAAACATTTTTGAAAATAATTCACAGCAGAATTGTTGTGAACTCTTGAATATGAAATTAGTGACACACAATTTGACTTTAGAAATGGTATAAGTACAAGAGAAGCTTTGTTCGACTTGAATGTGCTGGCTCGAAGATGCATGGACATAAATCAGGACATGTACTTATGTTTTGTAGACTTTGAAAAGGCATTTAATATGGTTCAATATAAAAAGCTTGTAGATATATTAAAAAGCAAAAATATTGACAGTCGTGATATGAAAATTATATCTAATTTATATTGGAATCAAACTGCCAAGGTAAGAGTTGACAGCCAGTACACCCAAAATATCAAAATACAGAGAGGAGTCCGCCAGGGTTGCGTGCTGTGCCCACTACTTTTCAATGTCTACAGTGAAGCGGTATTTCAAGAAGCGTTCTGACTCAATAGAAGGTATATCTATCAATGGAGAAGTTTTAAATAACTTACATTTTGCAGACGATACAGTAATAATGACGGATAACAACAATGATTTACAGAACGTAATGCAACGCCTTAATGAACGCTGGCATGAGTACGGACTGAAGATCAATTTAAAGAAAACTAAATGCATGATCATGACTAAATCTGCACATGCAAATATTCAATTGACTATTGAAGATACTGCGATTGAGAGTGTTAATAACTATAAATACTTAGGAACATGGATAACATCAGATGTAGACCAAACCAAAGAAATTAAGACACGTATTGAAATAGCACGTGCATTATTCATTAAACTTAAAAAGTTTCTTTGTTGTCGGGATATAAGGTTAGAACTACGCCTGAGAATGCTTCGACGTTACGTGTTCTCTACTCTTCTTTATGGCTTGGAAGCGTGGACACTAAAACAAGTCCATCTGAATAAGTTGGCCGCCTTTGAATTTTCGTGTTACAGAAGAATCCTACGAATATGATGGATTTAAAGAATGCCAAACGTGGAAGTAACTAGAAGGATAGGAAATGACGCGGCAATAATATTAACTATCAAAAGACGAAAACTTGAGTACTTAGAGCATGTGATGAGAGGCAAAAACTACGCATTATTACAACTTATTATGCAAGGCAAAATCCGAGGAAAGCGAAATGTGGGAAGACGAAGAATATCCTGGCTTAAGAACTTAAGGAAATGGTTTGAATGCAGTAGTGCAGAACTTTTTAGAGCGGCAGTCACAGAGTCCGCATAGCCATGATGATTTCCCACCTTCGATAGAGGATGGAACTTAAAAAAGAAAAATATGTACCAATTGAAATAAATGACACCTAGATCCCTATTGCACATACTGCGAGATATCTGAATAGCATCTTCATGCGAGACTGTGTTGAAAGGTCCATGTAAAGAAAAAACGAAAAAGCTTGAACTAAAATACAAAAAATTGTTCTAGTTGTTTGGAAAAAACACAAACTTGTGATCTACAAACAAATACTCAGACTGGTATGGTCACAAGATGCCCATCTCTGCATATGTGCCAGCAAGAAAAATATTTTAACGATACACAGCTTTCAAAACAAAGTATTAAAAACAGTTCATTCATGGAAACGCGGGGGACTTTTGAAGAAATAATAAGAAATGTGCCAACAATCCAGAGCAACAATTGCATCAACATGGGAATACCGACGCTCTCCAACACCTAGATTACACAGAGTTACTAAGAAGGCTGAACACTGTAAGTAAGGAAGACCCTGTAGAAACATTATTGATTGTAACTGTAGTTTTAAGTATTTGTTACTATCGATGTGAATGCAAAATATTAGTATTAAGGCACATTATGCGGGGTGTTTTCCTAATAAAAAAGCAAGTAGTGGTAATTAGGATAAGAGACAAAAGTCGAAAAAATTGAGAAAGAAATAATTATGAGGAAAGCAAAACCCTTTCATCAATCTAATGAACTCTAATAATAAAGTGTTTTTGGGTGATATATGAGAATGAAAAAATGTGTCACATAAGAATGTAAATGTTCTTAGAAAAATACTTTATTCTATAAAAAATTTTTGGGAGAAAAAATACTAGGGATGACTTAGGAAACTGGATAGGATTTCACTTTTTAATTAATAAAAAAGCTACCCAAAGAGACGACATTCTCATGCAGATTCTCTTTACTTCTCGTGCCATCATATTTTAATTTATTTTGTTGATTAGTACAATTAAATTCATAGTTTTTGTAGTAGTTTCTTGCCTCTTCTTCATTGGATCATACATCCATTGGTTTCTATATTTTACTGTATTTTTTTATGTATCTTGAACCCCTTTAATTGTTCACCTGCGCTAATGACAACTGCGGGTACGCCTTGATTTGAACGTTTGATAAAAATAGAGGTATTCTCTCTACATGCTGAATGCCCACACTTTTTTGTTTGGATAACACACGTTTGTTTATATTCGAGCTTCTTTTAAATATGTATTAATCACGCCTATTTGAGGACTCGTAATTTTCCAGTCCATAGTAATATCTTTCACCTATAATTTGTGTAACATTCGATCAATAAAGATTTTTGTAGATTTTTATTTATTGAATCTAATTCCAGATTTTGTACTCAATAAATGATTATAATGTTTTAAACCACGAAGTAGTCGTAAGCGGATTGATTTTTATGAACAAGAAACAAAATATATTGAAATGAGAAATACTGTAAAAAAATACATAATATATTATTACTGAAAATAATATTAGAAAAACGTTCATTTCTTGTCCGATCAGTTATAACGACAACAATCCAAATGAACAATACGGAGTCCATGAAATTCCTTGTGCTTACTGCCCCGACCTTTTATATAGGCCAAACCAATCGTAGAATCCAAAATAGGATTTATAAACATTTAATTTCTGTTCGCAATTTCATCTCTTGTTCTAGATAGCCCTCATCCGTTTCTTTAAACAAAACATTATCCAAGAAGCTGCAGAGATTCGAAAACGAACGAAATGGCTCTCCTAAAGAAATTATCGTCTGCTCCACCTACAAATTTAATTACCACCGTCAAGAATATTCGCGCCAAACCCCACGTCAGTGAACCACGTTATCATCGACGGTATAAATGAACCATCCGCTGTTCCAAGAAGCAGTAGTGCAGTGGGTAGTGAAGATATATGGGGTCTAGTAAAATAGAGACCTCGGAAGCCCTTAAGAAGATATCGAAACAGGATGTCGAATGCTCGATGTAGGCAAAATCGAAGCGATTTGGCCCAGAAACCTAATGACTTTGATATTAATTTTTGCTATATTAATCTTAGCTTATGGTTTATTTTAATAAAACAACGAGTGCGTTGTAACTCTCACAGGATAAATAGTTTTAGGTTGCACGATTGTTTGAAGTGAAGTATCATTGACATTTAGAAATTATATGACACAATTATTGTCAAACAAATAATACTGTTGTAAGAAAGAAATAGCATTGTTCTTTTGTATATTTGTTATGTTATTTGTACATGAATATTGTAATAAATACGATTACTTACTAATATACTATTTCATCACCATCAATGGTGCTACAGCCCTATGAAAGAGCCTCGACCTTCCCAAGTCTATTACGCCAGGCAGTCCTATCCATTGCCAACCGTTGCCAGTTTGCTGCGCTTATCTTTCTACCATCCTCATCTACACCATCCTTCCATCTGAGTTTTGGCCTATCCCTTTTTCTACTTCCCACGGGTTGTGACATAAGGATTCTTCTAGGAGGGTAGTTCTGCTGTGATCTTGCTAGATGTCCTGCCCATCTTAATCTTCCTATTCTTATAAACAAAAATAACTATATACAAAACCCTTATACAGCCAGTGTTGACATATGGATCGGAGACATGGGTCATCTCCAAGGCAGACGAAGACCTTTTGCTTATATTTGAACGAAGGATCCTGAGACGAATATTTGGTGGCATCTGTGAAAATGGTGTTTGGAGGAGGAGATACAACTACGAGGTATACCACAGATATAAACAAATATTTGGTGGTAAAGACATAGTATCTCTTATAAGAATATACTATTTAGGTACATAAATAATACAAATTTGCTATAAATATGGCAAACATTCGACTAAGGAGATATAATTATACATTATTAAACCTATTTCATAGTCAATACATACCAATATCTAATCTGCTATATTAAAACTCACCTGAAACAATTAAATAAACATTAATATTAGTAATTCAGAAAATAAAATTAGTAGGGTTAGAGGGATAACGACATTATTTTGTTGACCATAGGAATTAAGATTTATTGCAATCCCATCTCTAGAGTATATTTATTATAATGTAACAATAAAACACTGAAAACTTTGTTTTCAAACTTCCACAAAATTTATTTTAAATCTTATCACTACAGCTGTTTCGGCTAATTGCCTTTCTCAAGTGATCTATTTTTGGCTTGGGTTTACAAATTTATAATCTCTAATGAAATAGGTTGAGGAGGGGAGAACTGTTTGTCTCAAGTTGGTCATTCAGAATTATATCTGTGTTTTTTAATTTGTTGATTTCCATAGATTCTAACAAAGATAGCTTAAGGCCTTTATTTTGAATGTGAAGAATTTTAAATTTGTCATTAAAAGAATTATTATGATCTAGAAGGTGAAGTGCGTATGTCGAATCTGTTTTTCTATTCTTGAACGCCCTTTTATGTTCTGCTATTCGTTTATCAAAGTTTCTACCAGTTTGACCGATGTAAGTTTTTGGGCAGTCGCCACATTGAAGTTTTTACACACCACTATTTAAGTGTTTTTTATTTTGCCTCTTGTTATTTTTAATATATTTGCCTAGGTTGTTATTTGTTCGGAAAGCTGGTGTTATTCCTTTCTTTTTTATGTGTTTGGCAATTTTTGCTGTTATTTTGCCTGTATATGTAATCGAGCAGAAGGTACTGGGTTTTTTCTCTGGTGGTGGAAAATTTTACAGGTACCAGCGGAAGCCTATTTCCATGAAGCTTATGTCCAGAAGAAACAGCAAAAGAAGAAGAATAATAAGATCACCAATAGAAATAATTCAAATAATTAAAAATGGAGAAGGGCTAGTTGGAGAACTAAATTCGCAGATAGATAGAAAAATGTGAAATAAATAGTTCTGCAGCTAAGGCACATCCGATACTATGAAAAATTGGAAAAAGAGGAGTAACCACCTCATGAAATATAAAAAAAGGACGGTTTATAATAATCCTACGGGATTTAAAGGTGTTGATGTTGATTCTCATGAAAATTCTAAATTTAAAATCCCATAACTAAACGGATTCAACTCTTCAACTGTCCAATACATGACCGATCGTCTAATCTTAGCCCGAAGTGCTAGGGAATTGCGCTATTACAATTATTAGAAGTTAAATCATCTCCTAAACTATGAACGCCATTAAGATAGTTTAAAAATCTGCCAATCTTCATCCAGATGTCATATAAACCGAGGAATTTTGGCTGTACGCCATATTTGCACATCAGCTGACCAACCAAAATATTTAAATGAACACATTTCGAATTGTCAAGGACAAAGTCGAGATTCACTATGAATCCAAGTGGAACGTGTATGTGTTCATTCATCTTGCCAAAAACAATACTGAACAGTTTGAAATGTTTACAGGGCAAGCAAATTATTAATTTTTATATTTTGTTTTCCCCTTCTTTAGTTAGATATGTACATAATGTTCGTCATGTCCATTCGTATATAAATAAAATCACTGCAAAAGATTGCAGTGGATATTAAAAACAACTAGTATGATGTTATTCGTAAGTAATTTATTTAGTATTATAAGTCGGGCGCGCCTGATGAGATTGATACAGCGGAAATTTCAGCTCGTAAATAGTCGAAAATTTCCGTCACCAACAGATTCTTATCTCACATTCTCCCATGGAGAATGCAAGAACGGGGGACGAGGACGAGACCGGTTGGTTAGTCTGTGCTAGAAGGAAGGTATTTCAATATTGTTTAGACTGATACACCGCGCCCATACGTGTAACAAAATAAATTTTGTAAATTTGTTTGTTTGTAAATATTTTTGTATGTAAACATAATCATTTACAACGTTAGAAATCCTAAGATTTCCTTATTGACGTAACTAAATTCAAATTTTTACCACAGTAATTTAGTTTCGTCAAGTATTAAATCTTAGGATTTCTATTGTTGTTATTAGATGGCGTTGTAAATAATTATTTTTGTAATTATTGTACTATGACGGGCAAGATTTGATTTCGATTCATAGCCTACGCATAGGTCGCTTTGATGATACCTAATGAGGTTGAAATACGTATTGGCGACGTGCAAGTACTTGGATGTGATACGAGAAACGATCGTGCGCGAGTACCGGAGAAATCTTGCATTTTTTACTGCACATTTCATAGATTTCATAAATTCATATTGTCAATTGTCATATTCATTTGTTTATTTACACTCTCTGTCACTGAAGAAAATGGGATTTAGGAAATAATTTAAGTTTTATTCGTTTCCAACTTCAAAGCACAAATTACTACAAAAAGAAAAGTGGATTTATATCATAAAAAAGCATAAGTAACATAACCTAAATTATGCATTATTCTTGCACCCGATTTTAAAGTCAGTTTGAAATAAATAATAAATAAAAGTTCACCTTTAAGTGTAAATTTTAGTTTCATAACACTCACAGAGTTCATTTTAATCCAAAAATCAAGTTTAATGTTTATATTTTATTTTTTTGAAGTTTACAAAATGCATCAAGTTCAAGATTTTCTGAAGATGCATTAAGATATATTCGCTGTCCAAAAGTTTACAGGGAAAGAATTAATTGTTCAAACCAATATGATGATATCCTGGGCTTAACCTGCTAATTTATGCATTAGCATTATTTATGGTAATTTATTTGTCTTAATTCTTATTTGTATTTACACTACATACAACGTTTACCTTTTAATAACATACCGATATAACCTCAATCTTACTTTTTCTTCTTATTCTTTTTTGGGGCTACGTCCTTGACAGTTATCCGGTAACCTCGATCTAACATGAAAGCTGTTCGCTGTTCCGAACTTGCACGGTCCCAATAAGCGGATGGCAAATGCCCTTCATTGAAATTAAATCTAAGGCCGTCTTTCTGTTCTATAATCATTTGTGTTTTAGGTCGGAAATGCACTGATAACGGCAACTTGTATTAAAAAATGTGATCTGGAGAATCCTACAGATATTGAAGTGATACAAAGAATGTTTGAAGATGGTAAACCTAACTTACAAGACGATTTTGATCATGAAGGACATACAAACGGAGAATATGAAATCGAACCTCGTGAAGGCGATTTTGATACGGAGGATTTAACACAAAGGATAACTTTTTTTGGAAGAGATAAGTAAAGGAAGGAAGCCATTAGAGAATGGCTTCCAAGGCCAAGTAAATTGTTCTTCAAAATCACATAAACTTATTCGCAAGTTACCGGGTCTAATATGTGCTGCAAGAACGGCAAAAACTCCTGTAGAAGAAGTAGCATTATGGATGACGAAATGGGTATAATTGTGCTATAGACCAACCAATACATTGAAAGTATGAAATCACTATTATCTTCCTAAAGATAATTCATAAGAGAACCTACAAACTTTGTGAAAGTCAAATTTCCCCAAAACCAGTTCGGGTTCACAAATGCTGTTGGTACTAGAAAGGCTTTGTTCTAAGTACAAGTCTTATTCCAGAGATGCGGAGACGTCAACTGCGACGTATAAGCATGTCTGGTTGATAACGAGAAAGCGGATGATCGAGTACACCACACCAAGATGATGCAAATACTAAAAGAAGCAGGAATTAGCAACCAAGATCTAAAGATAATTAGAAATCTTTACTATAATCAGACAGCAAATCTCAGAGTTGAAGGTGAACACACTGACTATGTGAAAATCGTGCGTGGAGTGAGGCAAGGCTGTATTTTGTCTCCTCTAATCTTCAATCTGTACTCTGAAAGAATATTTATCGAAGCTTTACATGAAACTAAAAAAGATATTCTACTAAATGATTACCGACTTAACAACATCAGATATGCCGATGACACCATAGTATTTGCGGACAACTTAGAAGACCTACAAGTCCTTATGAACAAAATCACGTATTACAGTCAACAATATAGACTCAATATAAACATTAAGAAGACAAAGCTTATGATAATTGGCAAGAAAAGGATAAGAGAAGGTCAACTCCACGTCAAGCAATCCCCTGTAGAAAGAGTGAAGCACTACAACAACCAGGAGATTAGAGCACGCATCGGAAAAGCTAGATCCACCTTCAATCAGATGGGGGCCTTCTTCAAGAGTCACAACCTCTCTCTTGATACACAATTAAGAATGCTGCGATGCTACGTCTTCTCTGTCCTTTTTTATGGTGTTGAATCGTGGACCTTGAACGAAGATATGTGCAGAAAACTGGAAGCATTTGAGATGTGGCTATATCGGAGAATAATTAGATCCGTGGACTGACCGAGTTACAAATGAGGAGGTCCTCAGAAAAATTAATAAGAACCAAGAGGTACTGACCACCCTCAAATCTCGAAAGTTACAATTCTTTGGACATATTAGGCGAAATGAATTCAGATATGCTCTCCTTCAAGTCATCCTGCAAGGAA